TGGACAAACCCAGGGACAAGGGAACAAGTGATCCAAATCAACAAGTGATCCAAGTGGTGAGGAGGGTGTAGGAGGCCTGGTAGGGCATGATCCAGGGTAATGTAACCAAGAGGAATAATTGAAACCCAAGTGAAGGCTGAACATGATAGTGGGACAAGAGGAAAGTCAAAGGAAATAGAGGAAAGAACTAGGAGGCAAGGGAATTTATAGAGGTCTAAATACAGGCACGAGGATGTAGAAATAGATCTACGTGCATATATGTATGGGTTTAGTATTAAGGTAGCAGATGGACATTGGGCCTCTCAAGCATTCCCTCAATGCAAGAATACTTTATTCTATTAAACTGACATTCCATGATGCTCACCTTCCCGACACAATCGCTGAAGACAAAGCGGGTACATAAGCAAATGTAGTGAAGAAAGCTGATGGAGCCTGGCTATCAAAAGATAAGCGTCTGGGGTCTTAAAGGCTTGAAGGTAAACAAGCCTTTGTAAATTGTAATTTAGATGTATAGCATATAAGAATTATTCACTACAGGATATGTCAGAAATAAGGACAACAGCTAATTTTAAGAATTATCTCCTGGATAATAGTTAGATGATCATTTAAGAGAGTTTTTATGTTTGGGTTTTGTTAATCTGATACTACATGTAAAGACTTCCTCAGAATGTCTTTTTGTATTCCTGGTCAAAGACTGCAAAGTATTACTCTTGAAGGAGGTCCGGTTAGATCCAAAATACCCGAATAGCATTGATTTCAATCTACCAACATGATTACTTATGTATTAATAATGAAGTTAGCAGCAGTTCTTACTAGTTAAGTGGAATTTCATTAGTTTTATGATATGATTTACTCTTTCGAGGTTAGAAATGTACAAATATGAAAAGATGAAATATTTTCAACAAAGTAATTTATTTTTTATCTGACATTAAATTCAGTACAATATTTGTTTTCATAACATCCAACATGTTTTAGGTCAAACTTAACTATTTTCTATGCAGTGACTGGTGGGGTGATCTGTTTTATTGGCTACCCTCAATGTAATCATTAGGGTAGTTCTAAGGCATACCAGTGATCAAAATGCTTTCCCTACAGTTACTCCTGCATTCGCAATCAGATTCTTCCGCACGTCATCTAAAGAAAATTTATGTGGTGATTTATGTGATTACACTCTTTTAATATTAGGATTTCTAAACCTAGGAAAAACACCATTTAAAACATTAGTGTTTCCTTCCAGTCAAGGATCGTTCCATTAAATTTCATCAGTACATTATAGTTCAACTCATGCTAGAATTGTTAAAACCCAAGATCTTCCGAGTCACATAATATCAACATTTCATATGAATGAATAACTTATTCAGGTTCCATACAAAGATAGTAAGTGATGAGAAACAGAAAAAGCCAAGCTTTCAAGAGCTCTGCTCCCCCCAAATTAAAAAACAAAAGCTAACGAGTGAACACAACTACACAAAACATTCATTAACTAATTGTAAACTAAACTAGTTAAAAGGTTAACCTTAAAAAATATATTTGAGAACTTCCTGATACCCTCATAAAAGGCAGCAAACTAAGGGTATTAAAACAATAGTCATTATTTTATATACTGTGCATCAAGTCTAAAAGATCCAGATAAAGGAGAATTTTGTTTTGATTAAATTTAAATATCTTAAAATTGGGAATATTTAATAATTGATAGATCATTAAATTTTAAAGAGTATACACAAATGATTTGAACAGGTTTTATATTCAGTAAAACTTGCATGGTTTTTATCCTGGCACTTTTATCACTAATTTAGGAGAATCAGATGCATTTCCCTCCATATATGTAGGCACTAAGATTTCAAATTTATAAATATGGTATTTTAAATATTAAATTCTTACATGAATATTGGGTTTGTCCTTTATATCTTAGGTATTATCCAGTTTCATAAGGAAAACACTTATATCACAATCAAAACTTGGTTACTAGACTGTAGCCATAATTGGGTTACAGTCTCTTAGATTCATTATTTGGAATTATACTTACGAAGGCAGACCTAAATGAAACTTATCTTCTAGAAGAATTTCACATAAGCATTTACCTGCACTGCAGAGTGTGTTTAAGCAATATATTAGTTGTTAGGAAATATTTAATTTACTTAAACTTGCTATCTTTGACTTACTCAGAATTTCTACAGTAGTCAATTTTATCTGAGTTCACTTGAAACTATCTGATTCATTCCAAATAGAAGATTTTTAAATAGAAGTTAGACTTCATTAAGGTATTAACTTTAAATCTGAAAGAAAATTAATGTACTGAAAATTTCAAGTTTGACAAGTTCATTAAAATTAGCATGTCTTGATACATTTTCTTATCAGCTTTTACTCGTCTTTCTGTTGGCATTTCCTTAATGCTTGTTTCCTTCACTTCTCTGGTTCGTTGAATTGCTACTATTCATGCTTTCATGGACTTTATCATCACAATTTACTACATCTTGTAAAGGTTTTTCCACATCTGCTTGAGCAGGTGTACTGGCTGTTTTCGGCAAGGTCATCTGCAGCGCACACCAGAGGGTGGTGCGTGCTTTCCGAGTAGCCACGCACATCTCTTTAATTGCTGATGCAAGAGCAAACACATCTGTAAAAGAAAGGTTCTGGGTCAATTCATATTAGCTACCATTTAAGAATACGCACACAAAAGTATCACTATTTACTAATCCTTTAAAAAATTTATTGTAAAAAATATAAAGTATCATTTTTAAAAAAATCATTTTATTGGGGACTCATACAACTCATCACAATCCATACATACATCCACTGTGTCAAGCACATTTGTACATTTGTTGCCCTCATCATTCTCAAAACATTTGCTTTCTACTTGAGCCCTTGGTATCAGTTCCTCATTTTCTTCCCCTCCCTCCCTCTCCCACTTTCGTTCCCTCATGAATCCTTGATAATTATTTATTTATTTTTTTTTTGAGTCCTTGATAATTTATAAATTATTTTTTCATGTCTCATTGTAACCTTTTAAAAATGTACAAAAAACAATGTACAATTAACATTAATTTCGGTGACCACACTGTGCAAATAAAACCAGTTCCCATTTCCAGATATTTGTCATCACCATCAGAAACTCACTGTAGCACCTGGAACAAACACTAATGAACTTATGTTTTCTGTCTTGCCTATCTTAGACATTTAATATAATGAGGTCATATAATATTTGTCCTTTTGTATATGTCTATAAGAATGCCTTAATTCTTATACCGACCAGGGCTGCTGCTATTAAATGACCATGTATTTAAATGAAAGATAGCTGTTGACTGACCTAATAAAAAATACTTATAAGTTTGATATTTTATTTCTTGCTCATGACAATAACTATACTTGGAAGAGAACATGAACTTGCCTTTAAAAAATGGTCTAAATACAACCGAAAAGTGGATGAAGGGAGACGTTGGACAGGGCAAGATATGACAAAATACCCATTTATAAACTATCAAGGGCTCATGCGGGAGGGGGGAGCGGGGAGGGAGGGGAAAAATGAGGACCTAATGTCGGGGGTTTAAATGGAGAGAAAATGTTTTGAGAAACGATGTACAAATGCGCTTTACACAATTGATGTGTGTATGGATTGGGATAACAGTTGTATGAGCCCCTAATAAAATGTTTAAAAAAAAACAAACTTTGGGACAGCAAAAAAAAAAAAAAAGGTCTAAATATATTTAAGAGTTCTGCAATTATCAATCAATTTAAGAACATTTTCTTCATTCTTGTACCCATTATTAGTTCTCCATCATCTCTTAATCTCCTCTGCCATAACCCTAAGGGACTATTAATATAGTTACTGTCTCTATGAGGGACCTATCCTGGAATTTATATAAAGAAAATGATACCAAAAAACCAACAATGACAAAATAGAAAAATGTCAGTCCAAGAAAAAGCTGAGGATAACAGAAACTAGAACATTAAACAGGTCAAAAGGGAAAACAGATTTGTCTTAAAAAGTTACAATTTAAATCGATAAAATTAAGTAAAAGTACTTTTCAAAGATGAAATGTCTAAATTTACCATTTTTCCTTCAAGTACAATCTTTAGAAATCCAACCTTTTACTCTCAGAATCTGATTTTATAAAACTCAAATTCTTGTGTTGCTCGAGCAAAAGAATATGCATTAACATTTGTACCTCTATCATCTTGGCATCTAGGAACTCCTTGCCTTTGTCTATTTGAAGCATTTACAATTTCATCCTTTCTACGCGACTGTACAATATGAATGGACTCCAAGTGTCTATCAAGAGCAGTAGAGATATTGGCATGAAGGGGAGAGCTTCGAAGACGTTCCATTTTGCCTAGTAAAGTCACAACCTGAAGGAAACAATTTAAATTTTGGTAAGGCTTATAACCATTGTGCCCTGCCATTAATATAGCTAGCAACAAATCTTCAATGAAACAAACTAGAGATGAGAGCAATACCATTCATTCATGAAGGACACCATGCAAGGGAAAACAAGGATGAAAAATAATTATTTTTACATCTATACATCAATTCTAAAAGCGTTCAGGCTGTTGATTACTGAGAATACAATGATACAACCAAAACTGGCTCATTAAAACACATGCAAATATAATATCCTATATAAATTTTGGCAAGTGAAAGGGTAACCTGAAAATAGGACATTATATCAAAGGGTATTATAATCTAAAAAAACATCTAAAGAATAAAGGAAGAAGACCTAAATTGATTAATACCTTCATAAATACTTAATTTTTCCGAGTCTTCAATGTTCTCTTTTGGAAATCAGAAGTATTTAGATTATAATAATGACTATTGGAAGATTTAGGGAATACAAAATATACAGATTTACATTTACATTGGGATAATATAAATCCCATAATTGCTAAGGAAGTCTCTCAACCCGCTGGAGTTAAGGTTAAGGAAAGAAAGAGAAAGGCTAGATATGCATCCATTCCTCACTTATCAACATGTTTAGGTTCTAAAGATCAAGTTGTTGTCGAAGCAAACGTTGGTATTGTGTGAAATGGAGGACTACATCAGCCATTACAGCAAGACCAGTGCAATTCAGGGCCTTACCAAGTTGACAACCTTAACCGTTAATCATTATATCTCATTGTCACACCTCGGAGCTCATTACTATCAGATGTAGGTCATTAACCTGCAAAAATAGGTGGATAGTTTTACTATTGTTGTAAATGCAGACTGTCATATAAAGAGACAGTAGATAAGTGAGCAGGTGTATTTGACCAATAGTGGGACACTGTTTCATAACTGTATAAGCTCAACTTGTTTCAAATGCTAAACTTGGAAGGTATATAAAAAGAACGTTTGAAGTAATTATGATGTTGACCATCAAGCAAGTAATTACCTTTACAAGGTAAATGACTTAACAATTCACATTAGGATTTGTTGTTCAGTGACTAGAGGAGGGAGAGAGCAGTAATATACACTCAGTTAAGATAAAGGCACTTGAATGACTATAACTCTGTTTATATCAAGTTTCTCTGGAGTCTGTACAACTTAGGCAAATGTATACAGATGTGTACAGGTATTATTTTCTTCTCAACTGTATACCAAATACACAGGGGAAACAGGAAAACAACAAAAACACACCACATGCAAAATACTATAGTGAACTAAGAGAAAGTGCCCCCAAAAAAACAAAACTGGAAAATAACTCTGCTGGGCAGAACTTCTGTAGTATTGCACCTCCCCCTCCCCAAACCCAGGCAAGTATCGGCCAACTCACTGAGTTAGTGCACCACCCTCATAACAGCAGTTTTCTTGAACCACGTATTTTTGTGATGACCAATTTAAGAGAACAATACATGGCTGTGAAATTTTGTTTCTTGCTTGGGAAAAATGCCACCGAAACTTGTGATGTTGAACATAAGCTTACAAGGACAGCGCTATGGGGAAAATGCCAGTGTACGAATAGTATAGTTCTTTGTTTCAAGAAAGGTGAAACATTGATTGATTAAAACCTCGTTCTGGACATCCATCAACTTCCCAAATAGACAAAAATGTCGACAAAATGTGTGCATTTGTGCTTTAAGACTGACAATGGGCCATTGGGGAAGTTATCTGAACTATCTTGGAGCTCTGTTCTGCCAATTTTAATGGAAGATTTGGGAATGAGAAGGGTCGCTGTGAAATTTGTGCCTGAACAGGAAATTTCTGACTGATCAGGAAAATGAGTGTGGAGTGGAAACATGCCTTGCTTTGAAAGAACAACTCTGAAGCAATCCAGACTTTTTTCCCAAGGTCATTACTGGTGAGGAGACATGGTTCTATTCTTATGACCCTGAAAGCAAACATCAATCAAGCCAGTGGAAGATGCCATTATCACCTCGACCATCAAGTGAAATCAAAGATCAAGACGATGCTCATTTGTTTCTTCTGATGTGAGGGGGACAGTGCATTTGGAGTTTTGTTCCACCAGGTAAGACTGTTCATCAAGCTTTCTATTTAGAGCAGCGGTTCTCAACCTGTGAGTCACAGCCCCTTTGGGAGTTGAATGACCCTTTCACAAGGGTCGCCCTATTCATAACAGTAGAAAAATTACAGTTATGAAGTAGCAACGAAAATAATTTTATGTTTGGGGGGGTCACCACACATGAAGAACTGTATTAAAGGGTCATGGCATTTGGAAGGTTGAGAAACACTAATTTAAGGTTCTGAGAAGTTTGTGCAACAATGTGTGATGAAAAAGGCCTGACTTGTGGCAAATGGGGGTTTTGCCACCACAATAATGCACCTGCTCATGCAGCCATCTCAGTGTGCCAGTGTTTGGCAAAGAAACAGCATACCTCTCTTGCCCCACTCACCTTACTCATCTGACCTCACTCCTTGCAACTTCTTTTTGTTTCTGCCACAAATTAAGAGGGACATGAAAGGACAGCAAGAAAGGTGCTGTCAGCCATCCAAACAGATGAGTTTGAAAAATGTTTCCAAGAATGGGATCAGAGATTTGACAAATGTATTAAGTGTAATGGAGAATACTTTGAAGGTGATAAGGTTTTTTGCAAAAAAAAAAACAAAAAACCAACAACCCGTAAATGCATAGCTTTGAAAAAAAAGTTCTGAAAAAAAAAATTTCTGGTTGTTTTCTGGTACTTTTACAAAACAAGATGGTTTGCTCAAGTTGTTTAAAATAAACTTTTGAAAGACTTCTTTGCAGAATTCTACAAAACTAGCAAGCTGGAAAACTGCACCCCAAATACTTTTACCCTTGATATATGACTGAAATAATGTTGCTAAGTATAGATAAAGTTATTATAAGCATAGCTAGAAAAAGTATTTTTTAATAGTTACAGTTTTTAACCTATTATGATTAGAAATGTGTTACTGAGATAGAGGAATTCTAATTTGAAACCATTTTAAGAAAAAACTGGAAAACATTTATGAATATTTCTAGCTGTAACTCATGTCAGTATTTGAACATAAGAGATTCATTGATGTCAAGTTGATTCTGACTCATCACAACCCTGTAAACAGAGCAGAACTGCCTTGTAGGAACTCCCAGGTGACTGATCACAACAAACAGGCTGAAGTATCACTCTGCCAGAAGCAGTGGGGCATTTGAAACGCCAGCATTTAACTACTGCATCCCAGGGCTTCTTATATCTGGATATGTCATGGATAAGTTCCATTTATAGATTTACAGGTTGAAAGAATTTCAACTGAGAAGTCTGAAGGCTAGGTAAAATTGGCATTTTTTTCCAATGAAGTACTCCGTATCTATATTTTAAAAGACAGCCTGGTACATGTAAGAAACATGTTCAGTAGGCTAAAATTATTTGATTTTTCTATATCCTAAAGTGGCTTTTATTAAACCATCGACTTGAACATTGACATTGAACATAGGTGCATGCTTTTCTCCAAGTACCTTTAAAAAATTATTTGGAATGTTAAGTCTTTAAAAAAGAAACAAAAAAAATTTAAGTGTAACTCTATTAAAGTTGCTTAGAAGTTTGTGAACTTTAAAAAGAGTTATCATTTGCTAAATTACAAAATGAAACATCAGGTTTCTTTACAATATTTTAAGTGACAGAGTAAAACTTGCAAAAGCTGAATTGTGTGAAGGTTCAGTATTTTCTACTAATAAAAAGCCATGGAAAACTGGTCAGATGGCACCTGGTCAAAAGTAGAAACTTGCAAACTGTCTGAATTTCAGACTTCATTCTATAACTTTTCCAAAATAAAGCTATTTTGTAAAATCATGCTCATTTACATAATCCAGTTATCACCTTTTAATACATTGCTGGATAAACTTAATGTACTGACTCAAGAGTGTAGGCTTAAGAAAATGAAATACATTAATTTCTTATCTCTATAGCTCAAATCTAGTTTGCTCATTGAGTTCGTTTGATTTTGGTCACAAAATGTTTGTGATTGAAAAACCAAACTTTCCAAGGGGAATGTAACAAACAGGAAGTGCTGAAATCCTGGTGGGGACTGAGCATGATAGTGGGACAGGAGGAGAATCAAGGGAAATAGAGGA